CAGGCAGGCTCTATATGGGTATGATCCAGTTTTGACCGAAGCTGATTTGGAACCAAATATTATCGTTAAGAGTTGTTGTGGTTCAAGGAAGAAGGGGAAGAGTGGGAATAAAAAATATATCGACAAGAAAAGGGCAGCTAAGAGAACTGAATCCACCATCCCTATTTTCAATATGGAAGACATTGAGGAGGGTGTTGAAGGTAGGCTTTCTCCAAAATCTACTGTATTATTTTCTGATTATTATTTACAATAGATTTTCATTTGCTCTGCACCTGCACTAGATCCTATCAATTTGGTTTATTCATGAAATAGCATGGGGACTTTGCTTGTTTGCATGGCTGCTATAAAATTTCATTATATCTTATTTTTTCCAACATCAACATTGTTCAATATCACTCAGAAACTCATTAGTATAAAATTAATTGGATCCTCGATCTTCCATTTTGATTAAGTTGAGGATGAAGATGAAATCAACGACTGGTAGTGTTAGAATGTCCATGCTCCGTGTGGTGTTAACTTAATTCATTGTGTTCTGCAGGATATGATGATGAAAGGTCTCTTCTTATGTCTCAGAAGAGTTTAGAGAAGCGATTTGGTCAGTCCCCAGTATTTATTGCAGCTACCTTCATGGAACAAGGAGGCATTCCTCCATCAACCAATCCTGCAAGTCTGTTAAAAGAAGCAATCCATGTTATTAGTTGTGGCTATGAGGACAAGACTGAATGGGGCAAAGAGGTCTGTTTATTGGCCTTTAGTAGTATCTAAGCCACTGTTCCTTTTTATATGCATTAACTTGGTTTTTTTTTTTTCCCTGTAATCAGATTGGATGGATTTATGGTTCTGTTACGGAAGATATTTTGACTGGGTTTAAGATGCATGCTCGGGGGTGGATATCAATCTATTGCATGCCTCCTCGTCCAGCATTTAAGGGGTCTGCTCCTATCAATCTTTCTGACCGTTTGAACCAGGTTCTTCGATGGGCCTTGGGTTCTATTGAGATTTTGCTGAGCAGGCATTGCCCCATATGGTATGGTTACAATGGAAGATTGAAGCTTCTGGAGAGATTGGCATACATTAACACCATCGTTTACCCCCTCACCTCTATTCCTTTGCTTGCTTACTGTATGCTTCCAGCCATTTGCCTTCTGACAGGAAAGTTTATCATTCCTGAGGTAAGTGATTATTATAGCTTCGCCTTTTTGCGATAACTGACTTTCCTCTTACATCCTTCACCCTGCAATCCTCCAAAAACTTTTTCCTCCGGTGTTTTGAAATTTTCAGGCACTAATGTTTTTCCTCCAATTTTTATGCAGATAAGCAACTTTGCTAGCATGTGGTTCATTCTCCTTTTTGTCTCCATTTTTGCTACTGGAATACTAGAGCTTAGGTGGAGTGGTGTCAGTATTGAAGATTGGTGGAGAAATGAACAATTCTGGGTCATTGGTGGGACATCAGCTCATCTCTTTGCTGTCTTCCAGGGTCTTCTGAAAGTGCTTGCTGGAATTGATACCAACTTTACTGTCACTTCAAAGGCATCTGACGAAGATGGTGACTTTGCAGAGCTTTATGTTTTCAAATGGACATCCCTTCTCATTCCTCCAACCACGGTACTCATTGTGAACCTGGTGGGTATTGTGGCTGGTGTGTCGTATGCAATAAACAGTGGCTACCAATCCTGGGGTCCACTTTTTGGCAAGCTTTTCTTTGCCATATGGGTTATTGCCCATCTATATCCTTTCTTGAAGGGTTTGTTGGGTCGTCAAAATCGTACCCCTACAATTGTCATCGTGTGGTCTATTCTTCTCGCTTCTATCTTCTCCTTGCTGTGGGTGCGGATCGACCCCTTCACCTCTGATGCTACGAAAGCTGCTGCTAAAGGTCAATGTGGCATCAACTGTTAGTTTCATTTTGGGATCATTTTGTTGCGGTATATGCTGTCTCTCCATAAAGTTGGCTATCTTGTATATAACAGAAGAAAATCAAGATGTTACAGCCACCTGCATGATATAAGTTGTGACTGTATGCCTGGATGAATTTATATAATGTATGACAGATGGAGACCTAAGACCAAGAACCTTTGTTCCCTTTCATTCTTCTACGAGGTGTTGCAAATGGTCCGAAGATGTTTATGTGATGCGGACCTAAGTTTGATCTTGATGTTGTGTATTTGTATAATTTTTTTTCTTTTTGTTAAGTAGAGATTTTTTTTTCATTCAATCCTGTGAAAAGAGACTTGTTTCTATTCTTTTTCAAGTTCCTACTTCAGCGTCATGGTGGAAATTCTTATAAGATTATTCATATGAGAATGGAGTAAAGAATATATGACTTAAAGTTTGGATTCCAGTGATATTTCCTGCGCATTACAAGCTCTAACACTGTTTTTGCCGAAGTTGGGTGGTCTCAGAGACAACCTATTAATTTTACAAATTGGGTTGTCAGTTTTTTGGGCAACCCTTCCCTATTAGGTAAACCCTTTTGATGAAATATTATAATTGTGATTTTTTTATGTATAATAGAGGTAACTGTGATAGAGGAAAAAGCTACGGGTGTTGAGGTTTAGGTTTAGGATTTAAATTTTAAATATGTTGGATGGTATTTTTAAAGTAATTATATAAATTAATTACATCAAAAATCAAAACTTTGAAAATTTTGGAATGTAGACTTGTTACATTTTAGTAATCTCAAAGATTCAATTACGAGATTTTCATTTTATTAAAATCTTGTTCTTACAAAATTGATTATAGAATTATTGAATTTTAATAAGCTATAAAATGGGGCATAATGCCAATTGTCCAAATCCCTAATTAACATTGTTATGGGTGATGACACCATGCTTCCAGATGGTTATAGATGAAGATTATTTTCTGTCCGATAGAAAAATCAATGACCCCATGGATGATTTTTTTTTTCTCTAGTAGTACCTAATATATATGTGTTTTTATTTCCTGTTACTTAGGACTGTGACATGTTAATTATCACATATGCAATCTTCTTTTGTTATGTAAAATTATTAAGTTGTCAAATATTCATTTTAAATTATCGAATCATTTAAAATTAATTATCCATTACAAAATGGGTCAAATGGGTTGGCACAACATAATTTTATATTTGACACGACGTTATAATAGGTCGGATTGACCTAAAACAAAAAAAATATAAATCGTGTCAAATATAATTTTTATTAAAAAAATCTTGATCTAGCATGATTTATAATTCGATAATAATATAAATCGTATCATACTTATTCATAAATTATCAAATAGTATTTTTTAAAAAGTTTTTATATATATTTTTTATTTTAGTGGCATCTTATAAAAAAAATAGGAGACATAATTTACATGATTTTTTACTATGAATATATAAAATTTACAAAGATTAATTAATTAAAAAAATAAATTTTACAAGTATTTCTTCCAATGATATAAATTATTATTTTCTTCCAATGGTACAATTTTTTTTTATTAGTGATATTTGACATTCAACCGATTAATCTTTATGAGTTTTCTAAAAAAATAAGTCAATCCCTTTAAACGTGAATCGATCTTTTTTATCTTACCATAATAAAATAGAGCATTTTATTAAAAAATGAATAGATCTTTTCAAAGAATTAATTGATGTATATTTTTATCAACAGAATATGAGTCGTGCCATGCTAGGCTTATGTTGTGGACCAACCCTTGGCCAATCATGGGTCTGTGCTATGCGAGTCCATGAGCCATAAAATGCTCAGTTTAGCACGGCATGATTAAGAGGCTCTAATCTGACTCAACACAATTATTATAGTAAAATGGATCGTGCCAGCACGACCCATAATAGGCTAGGCTGTGTTGTGCCATGGGCCATCCGCCTATCTTGTCACCTTTAGTTATGCTTCTTTTATGTCTTTCATCATTTAGGGTTTAGACCCAAGGATGTTTCATCTTCCATTCTTAATTGGCTCCTCAGAACTTGTATTCTTCTTTTATTTATTTAAAAAAAAATTATTCAGTTTTCTTATTTAAGAGACAATGAACTTCGAAAGAGTCTTTACAACTTGAGAAAAGATAAATTTATACTATTTATATTATTCATGTAAGTAACCGATTGTGTTTCGTACTTATTATTATCTATTTATTTTTTTCAATTTTCATTTTTTAAGAAAAACCTATTCAACTGATCTCTAATTGTAAGTATAAATATTTTTCACTTAATTTTTTTAAAAAAATTCTTTCTTTATATTGGATTTAGGTTTTTTCTCGTTTTAGCCTCTGTCAACAATCTATCAAGTATCTTCTTCTTCAACAATCTTTTTGTGAAGAATATTTCATCAAAGGTATATTACTTCCAATTGAAACAGAGCAATTTTCCCTTGATTTTAAGAATTCACTTGAACAAAAAAAAAAAATCTACAATCTTAATAGAAATCATCAAATTTAAAATTTGTATAATGATTATTTGATTACCCATTTTTCAAGTTATTTACAATCTCTTTTACAATGTAAATACATTTATTTTTTTTCTCAATTATAAGTATTATATTTTTATTATATTATTACTTTATAGTTTTGATTTAATATTAAAGATTTTAATGAAAAACATAAAATAAATCTAAATAATTGATTAATGACTTGAAGATGAAACGAGTAAAAGATTTTATTTAAAATTATGGGTTAATTCATAACTTAGTTAAGATTCATTTATCTTTTTTTATTGTGGAAAAAATAATATTTTTTATTTTTACATATAGCAATTTTTTTACTTAAAAAAAATTGAAATATTTGAGATGTGTGGTATTCATTTTTATTTCATCTTTCGAAATATTTTTTTTATTATTACAATATATATTAGATAATAAAATGATATTGGGGATGTTATCTTGTTGTTTTATATTTCCATTTAGAACAGTCCTTATCAACAAACGTTTATTGGGAGATAGAGAGAAAAGGGTCAGGCCAGGCCCAGGTAAGCCCAATCTAAAGCAAATAGAAACGATGACGTTTAGGGTGCAAAAAATACAAATTAGTACAAGCAGGAAAAACCCCAATAAATAGTAGTGGATTGAATTCAAGGGTTTTTGAGCCTTTGCCTCCCCTTGACCTTGGTGGTGAGAGCTAAGCTGAGCTGAGCTGAGCTGAGCAGATAGAGAGTTAGGGTCTCTAGAAGAAGAAGAATGGAGGGGATAACCGAGGGGGTGAACAACTTGAACATCGCGGATTCATCAGCCTCCAACAACAAGAAGAACCGTATCCAAGTTTCCAATACCAAAAAACCCCTCTTCTTCTACGTTAATTTCGCCAAGGTTTACTTCTTCTTTCCTTTCCTCTATTTATCATTTCTGGGGTTTTTCTCAAATCTCTCTCTTTCTCTTGGTGATCTGTTTGCCTGCTCAGAAGGTTCTAGTATGCTATTTTTATTTTAGTCATAAGGAATGATAGGTTTAATATTATGGTTTTAGAGTCTTCATTTATTTTTCTTTTCAACTGTATTAGGATAATTTTTTTTTTTATCATTCTGTTTCATTGCTGGATGTTTGTCTTCTTGATATAAAAAATTACAAGTGTCCTTTTTTTGGAAAAGTGACAAATAGGAATTGTAAGAACAAAAAAAAAAAGAAAGAATAAAAGCAGTTATTTCTTAGTTATTGAAGCAGTTTTTTTGCTCCGTTTTGGCAGAGGTACATGCAGCAACACAATGAGGTGGAACTCTCTGCTCTTGGAATGGGTATTCTTTCTTTGCTCTTGCTATTTGCATGCTCTTGTCCGAATGAATTTCGAAATTCAGCTGATTTAATTGATAGCTTCAACTCTGTGTGGTTAACATTTTATTCTCATTAACTTTATGATTGCAATGTTAACCTAAAGAATTTATAACACTTAGGTAGAAATAGAGCACATCAGCTTGACATACTGACATTCTATGTGTACATCTTTTTTGGCATGTAATTTATGGATTTGTTACAATGCAGATCGCTCTTAATGTAGAATGTTGGAAAAAAATCTCTTGCGCTCTTGCTTTTCTTTACAACTTCTTTCTAAATACCATCTGCAGCTATTGCTACAGTTGTTACCATTGCCGAGATATTGAAGAACAATGGGCTTGCTGTTGAGAAAAGTGAGATTCTTACCCTTAACAAAACTCCTTTTAGCTTGGATCTCATGTTGAGAATTCAAACTTACTATCATGATGTATGCATCATATGCCAGAAATCATGACTTCTACGGTTGACATGAGAGAGGAATCAGGGGGACGACCAGTTCAAAAAGCAAAAGTAAGTGGCAAATATGATATAATATTAATTTTCTTTTAAGTTACATTCATCAGGTGGCTCGCATTAGACTTAACTCAATGCTTTCAGAAATAGGAGTTCTATTCTTTTGTAAGTCTGTAAGACCAATCAAATAAGTAGGCAATCTATGAAATCGAGCCTCTGGTTATTTTGAAGTGATGATACTTGATTTCTATTAATTTGTGGGGTAGTAAAATGGAATGAAACAACAATTTATTATTCTGTCATACTTGCTCATTTCAAACCTACTGAATGGTGTCTGATGTTATTTGTAGGAGTTGGTGTTTGTTGTTCAAGGCCTCCTTGGGTATTAGGATTGGAAAATTCACTTGTAATCCATAATGGAACTCATGATATTTAGCAGTTTGATCAAATTAAAAGTTTTAGGCCCTAGTGTTTGGAATAATTTCTGTTAATAGGAATGCATATTCAGTTGTTCACATCTATTCTACTGCACGTATGGAAAGGTGCTCCCACCATTTAACTTGTTTAGTTTAATCATTAGTGTAGAGGGTTAGGTCTGATCTGGGTTGATTATTGTATTAGTATGAAGGGCGTAGTGAGTTATGTTGGTATAGTAAAAGTCTCCTCTATAAGTTTGGTCCATTTTTAATCATATAGCTCTCTTATATTTTTATGAAATGTTTGACCCATACCTTAATGTTGAGAGGCTGAAAGCATGGAGTTTATTATTTTGTAGATTGAAATTCTGCTAGGGAAGTCCGAGAAGTTTGATGAGTTGATGGCAGCTGCTGCCGAGGAAGTCTTAGATAATGAGGAGCAGAGCTAAGATGAGATGTTCCTTTACTTTTAGCTTGTGTTTACTTGATTGTGGACACTTTTAACAGTTCTTTTCTTGTTTGGGTGTAAGGAATGAAGCTTACTTACTGTCCTGTGACGATATTTTTAGGAATTTTTGTAAAATACAATGGCCCTTTGTTACTCAAAATTCAAATTTGTTGCTAATTCCTTTGCTTACATGGTCGAACATTTGAAACTTTTGCTCTTCAAGCTTATAGATTGATTTCTGTCTAGATAATTTACGGATTTTCATTTAGTCTTCAGCTTATTTTGATACAAAAATCGCCATTCCCAGTACCGTTTAACGAGTGGCAATGAAATATGGCCTTTATTTCCTAGAGCTTCTCGTGTCAAAAACTGCGAAACTAGCTGCAGATCCCATCTATCATGTCAGGTTCAACCAAATTCTTTGGAATTGGCTGAGTGAAACCGTTGCAAAAGGCATTTTTCGCGCCCACCAATCATTCCGGAGCTTATTCTCACTCCATCACCTATTCTCCATTTTATTCCCCCGCTTATACAGTTATAAGTTTTCAAAATACTCTGCCAGCAAGCAAAAAATCTCGACCATGCGCATATATTTCTTCCGAGCCAATTCATACCACAGAGCATCTTTTCTTGCATGCAATTTCCATCCCAATACTTGTCTCAATTCCTTTGCCTGCCCTGTTTCTTTTGTTTCCACCCTAATCTCTTCAGTTACTTCGAAAACCACATGCAGCTGATGATTGATCAGAGAACAAGCACATCAATAACATTTTCTGAAAAGTCATTTTCCGCATAATAAACAGTACCTTTCCATATCTTTGTGTTTTTTTTCCCCTTGTAACACTAAGGACGCAACAAAATTTGTAAAGCCTAAGAACATGCTAATTACAATCGCTTCAAAATCGGCTTTTTAACACTTTTTATTTATTATTTCCAAGACGAAATAAGTCGAACATAGATAAAGAAGGAACGTAAGTAGATGAAAGTGTTTTTTTAAGAAAGAAAAAAAGCCATGGTGATTGTGGCCACCGCTTTCAAGATGCTTCTAAATTTCCATTGCAGTTTCCCTTCCAGGCAGTTAAATTGTGAAAAGAGTAAAAATTTCTGTACAGTGGAAGACATGTTAAGCTCATGGACTGGCACAAAAACATCAAAACGGTAACCCACTTGAACAAGTTGTAAAACAGTACACTAAAAGTCCATCATTCTTCAAATATAACTTATCTGTCTCATTTTCAAGGCCAAAGAAAACTGTATGCCAATAAACTTACTTTCAAGATCATTTTTAACCTTCCAAATGCCGCTACCTGAACTGAGCTCTCAACAGAAAAATTTCAGCAGGAGAAAAATATCAAAAAAAAAAAAAAGAACCTAAAATGTATGCCAGCTCATTCCTCTGTTCCAAAGGACTAGTTTATTCACTTCAACGAGAAAATTCTATGCTTCCTCATCTTTGTCTACCAATATCCTTTTGCATGCTTCATAGCACATGAAAGAAATCCCAGCAGCAGGTACCAACTTCATGCAACTAGGACCCAAACCTTTATATAGACCATGAATCCCTTCTTGTTCAAGAATGCTTGAGAGTGCATGCAGCACATTCTTGTATACCTGTCTTCCATTGACAGCTCCAACTTGCATGTGCTTGCGAGCCACCTCAAGTGGGAAGGTTGCACTACTTGAAATAGCCCCAGCTAGTGATCCAATTAAAAGTGTTTCAATATTACCAATTTTCTCCTCCTTAAGAACTTTACGGTACACTTTACGTAAAGTATCATATGCAAAATAATTAGTGGCAGCATAAGGAATTACTCCAATAAGACTAGGAGCAAGGCCTCTATAAAGTTCAGCAGGGCCCTCCTTTTGCAGTATTTTTAAGAAAGCATCAAGTACACCATCATACATATTTTTCTGCAAAATTAACAAATCTCGAATATAAGTAAAATGCATTTTTTCTTGGTGAATTAAAAATTTTAGATTATATTTACCTCAATGGTTAATCGAGTCTTAACTAACTCAAGAGGATATGTCAACAAAGTTGAGCTGACTCCAGCACAAGCTCCTGCAACTAACGAGGCAGGAATTGGAATCTTTGGTTCTTCCCCAGGTTTGGGCGACAACTGCTTATTCACAGTATCAAAAGCAAATAACTGCAGTACATAGGGAATTAGTATTTGAACATGTTAGGAATAATTGCAACTTTCATTTTGACTAAAGAAGAGCAATATGTTTCTAGATAAAATAAAACATAGAATTGTAACATCCAGAAAGATGCAGCTACTTTCCACTACCATATTGTTGGTCTATTGACTTAAAACAGGAAAAAAATTGTCAGCAATGGCTCAAATCCTGTTTACCACTGAGGCCTTCTATTAGTTCTGTATGATGTCCATAACAAGGAAAAAAAAACTATATATGAATCATGCAAGATGAGATATGAGCATTCATGCAATACATAGCAAGGAAGAAACTTGCAAAACTATTCTTTGAAACAACCCAACAACCAAACAACCCTCAGGCTAGTAATAATAATAACACAAGCACAGATGAACTCTTAGAAAAGCTTGCTTAAAACCTATATATGAATCATGCAACAGGGTTCTACCATATAATTGAGTTTAGGAATTAAACTACAAACGCATAACCAATGATGACAAATTAGTACGAAGCATAGAACTAATGACAGCAATGTTCATCAACAAGTGGTCTATGAAAAATGACACCAATAATTGTCTTCTACACCGCTTTCATCTGTTTAAAAGTTTAATCTTTGAGAAGATAAAAAACAAGAAGGAAAATTGTAGAAGAAAAAGACATACAAAAGCTTGTTTACAACCTAGATATGGATCATAGTACATGTTTCCACCGGACTACTGAACCATTGAGAATTGATATTATACTAAAAGAAGATTTACTAAACAACAGAAAAGGTAATAGGAATTGAAGCATAGAATTGATACCATCAACATTAACCTACATGTTTAACAAAATTACATCTTCAATGGTTTTGGCCATCTCCTTACACAATTAGTTCATTCTTTAGGAGGATTAGAACCATAAAGGGGACTAACTTTAGTCAATTACATATTCTTTTTTTTAGACTAAAGTCAATTACATATTCAATACATGATATCTATCCAGATAGTAGCAATTGGCAGCACATAGATGTTTGTCAAGATATCTTAAATATAATCAGTTTTTGACTGAAGCATAACTTGTGAGGAAGAGAATGAGAGGAAGATCCAGAAACATAAAGAAAGAAACAACAGCAGACATCATTAGCTGAGAATTAACTAAAACATGGAACATTTTTCAGTGAGAACTAACAGAGGATATGGCTTTGAAGGAGCAGAAAGGTGCAAATAAAGACACAATGTTCATTATGATGAAAGTTCTTCATCTTCTTTTCCGTTCTTCTGCTTAACCAGCCATATGATGACTTGCAAAAATAAAGCAGTAAGATAATGAAAAATCAAATTCCTGGGGCCACCACAATTTTTCACACATTATATTTTACTATTTCAAGGTTGTTCTGTCCCAAATTGGTTGGCACCCAATATACTTACTGTTTCTTTATCAAATTGCTTAGCCAAGGTACATGGAGAAGGGTTTCCCAATCCAATCAATCAGAAAACTACCACTTTCATCTATTTAAGGTAACAATCTATACTTTGGCTTGGACAGAGAGCCTTATTGTTAAAATGAATTATAAAGAAACACCAATACAACAATAAAACACAAAACAAAAAACTAGCAACTGCAGTAAGTCAGTTTACAATCGCACTAGAGAAAACAGGATAAGCACTAAGACACAGTAACAAACATGAGAAAGGCTGACATCAAGAAACATAAAGCTAAAAAGGCGTCCCATACTCGCATTGAGTATATAACTGCATCCAATAATACAGAGAGAACGTTGAAACAATATTAATCTGAATCATTCATATATGAAAAAACCTAGCATATAAAGGAACCAAAATACTTTACTGCAAAAGGAACACCACAAAGCTCACAACCAAGCAATTACTATTAACCAACATAGCAATATCCGGTACCACAAAACCACAAGCAAACTGCATAACATTAATAAATATAACAATAAGAATTAGGGGATTTAATACCTCTATCGCCTTGCTTGGTGCAACTCGAATCACATTAACCAAATTACCCCTAAACAACCCTTTCCACCCATCAGTCTGCATTATATTATGGAACACCTCAGTGGTAGAATTCCCACTACTCCCAACCATCAAATGCGTCCTTATAGTCTCCAATGGCGCGACACAAGTCCTTGAAACCGCCCCAGCTATGGCACCGCTTATTAACCTCCTCAATGAAGGATTAGAAACCTTGATTTTCAGTTTTAAGCCAACTTTCTTTTTCTTCTTTAAAGCTGCTTCACCTTCTGGTACTCCAACAACCCGAATCTCATCTTGTGACGGTAAATATTTCACAAATAGATCGGAAAACGGAGCTTTGGTTCCACCATTGTCACGGGCATTTGGGGAGTTTGGCGAAACGCCAAATCCTATTCCCATTTGACCAACGCTTGCAAATAAGCCGCCTGGATAAAAGTTGTTCTGTTCGAGACACCACTGAGACCCCAAATCACATACGGAGAAAAACCCATCTCTCTTATCGTCAAACAACTGAATTCCTCTCTTGCTCATGATGGAAAAAAAACTTTGAAAATTTTTATAAAATATGTCTTTTTTCTAGGGTTTATTGAATACCCAAATCCGTTTTTTCATTGTTTTAAGAGAATTGTGCGTGTTTTTGAAGCAAAGATCAGATTTTGTACAAATGGGTGCCTAAAAGATTCAGCTTAAAGAAATGAATACAAGAGAAAATCCTTTTTTTTTTTTGAAGAAATCCAAAGAGAAGAGTCGATGAAAACAAGATACAAATCGAAAATTTAGAATCCTTAAAATGAAAAAAAAAAAAAAAAAGAAGGGAGAGAGAAGAGAGGAGGGTAGGTGAATGAATCTGATTCACTCAAGGTTACCCTTTTCCTCTTTCCCTCTTTTTAGAAATGGCAGTGACTGTTGTCAAAACTCAAAAGGCATATATATAGGGTTGCTTTGGTATGGTGGGTTAGAGTGCAAAGGTGTTAGGTTTATCTTGTACTTACAATCCAACAATGGGAGTGAATCTGAAGGTGGTCTCCTCTCCTCTCTCTCCTGTTGCTTCGGAGATTTCAGTAATTTGACGTGCTTTAAATGTTGGACAATGAATGAATATAATAAAATTTTATAGTAATTTGTCTTTGGCTCCCATTGATTTGGCTGGCTTTGCTACCTTTATATTTTTGCAGTGATATTAAGCCAATTTAGAGCTATATATATTTGAATATAATAGCAGGACTTTTTACGACCCACAAGACCGCCCTATGACGATTATCCAGTTCCAAGATATTGACAAATTCCTCGCTGCTTTCACTTTCCAGTCCGCCACTCGATTTCTACAAGGCAAAGAAAGCATGATCCTCTGCTGGACAATGTGCTGACTTTGTTCATTTTATTTTACTTTGACCTAAACCCAACAGAAGAAAGCCCATTTGCTACCTATGGGAAGTTGGCCCAATACTGAAATTTTGTTTTTTGTATGAAAAGTGAAAACCAAAAACAGTAATTAGCAATAGACTGTAGGAATTTTTCACAAGTGGTAAAAAATTTCATAGAGTTGTATAAAAGTTTTGATTTAATCAGCATTTAAAAAATTTTCACTCTTTGAAGTTCTTTACAAGTTAAAAATTACAATTACAATCAAATAATTTTTTATTGGATATAGATTTTATTAAATTTTTATCTCATGCACAATTAAAGTTTTGATAATATACAGTATTTAACTCAATGGTAATATCTGCATCTCACATTTAAAAAATCAAATTGAAATCTCATCGCAAATAAAAAAACAAAGTTATAATCCGAAATAACAAGCAATGAAGATTAAAGTTCGATTTTCAGCAAATCTTCTATTAATTATTATAAAGAACCTGATTGTAAATGAATTAGAAATGAAAAATAAATAGCAAATAACAAAGTATTAGCGGCCATAACAACACTCAAACTTTAATTAAAAGAATAAAGAGGAACTCAACTGTACAATATTTTACATTAAACTTTAGATTTCAAACCTGAATTTAATTGCGAAATAACAGTGTCATAATTCGACGAATTGGAGGAGATGAAGGAACCTTATAAAAAAAGAATTCTACAACAGGATGAGACCAAGGAACAAAGAGCTGCCAAGAATAGAAGCGATATGGAAAGAAGACAATGGCGTTGGACCAGCTGATGATGAAGTTCTTCCACCAGCACTTCTAGCTAAGCCCCCACGTCTTGCTTTTTTGATATGAACTCCGAGCTTCCTAGGTTGAAATGTTGAACTACTAAGGCCATCTTCTTCCGTACTATCTGCCACTTTCTCCCCAGCTTTAACCGGCTGGCTTTGCAGTAGTACTGATCCCCTGGATGGAATCAAGACACCTCCATCATCAACCGCTGAAGTTGGAAGAGATTGAGATGTTAACACAAGCAAGGCGATGATAAGTGAGAAAGCCAATACCAATCTGATCGACGTCATGTCTGTTTAGCACCTGTAAGACTCTTCAATGGAGAGATTGAGATCAACTAGGACATATATACATATATAAAGAAAATTGCGGGGCGCGTGGTTGAAAAATCGAGTTAGCCACAAGTTTTAAAGGATCGGAACCGACAAAAAGTCCTGGTCGATCCACCGAGACCATTAAAATACCTCCCTACATTATGAGGTGCCGACTCGATTGACCAAGTTCGATGCTTAGAGGGAAGATGTTATTTAATTAAATGCAAGAGCGAGCGAATCCTGAAGGAATTTCAAGTTGCTTTTCATTTAAGTTTTGACATGGAAGCAGGGGACCCTTTGATCCGAATTTTCTAAGATTGCGATGATTAGTCAGCCATAAACGTTGGCAGTCAAATTTGAACCCTATTTGGCAGGTTGAGATGCACTCTGCCACGACAAATTCAAAGATGACAAATTCAGCAGCGTTAATGGGGAAAATAACCTTCCTCAAGGAAATATCAGATATAACCCTATATAATTCAAGCATAAAATTAAAATATTTTAATTAGTGTTCAAGATAAAACGTAAATTGATGATTTGATTTTTACGTAATTATGTCTTTAATTACGTAATTACGTTTGATGATGAGCGATGACTCAATGTTCTGAAACGCGGTGCACTATTTATTTATTTAATCTAATATATAAATTTTGTTCACGGACGAGTAAATAATACATTATCAAGAGAGTGACATATGATACTTCTTTTTTTTTTAAAGAAAATTTTTTATATCTAATAAATATTTTTTATAAATTTTATATTTTTAAAATAAGACTCTCTTTTTATCATTTTTTTTACTTCTTTTAGGAATCAAAGTATTTATAAATAATTAAAATATAATTCATGCAGTCATTTATTTGTTATATAAATTTTGTTTATTTTGATTTTTGTTTCATTTTTATTCAAAGTATCAAAGTGATACTTTATGTTTCTTTCTTTTTTATTATTTTTTGTCAATATTTTTGTTTTTTATTTTTAATTTAAATAAATTTTTAAATAAATTTTTAAAGTATTTACGTGACAGCTCAATTTAGATTTTTTATTTTATATTTTAATTGCATAAATTTTGCAACAAAAAAACTGATAGATAAGGATCACAAAATAATTCGTATCCATTGAATTTTTATCCTCAGTTCAATAGGACATGATTTTTCTTCTTCTTTTTGTTTTTTAGGTTTTTTTTTATTTTTTAATTAGATAAATTCTGTGACAAATAAAATATAAGGTCTATGTAATACTCTTATTTGCTTGTTTCTTTTTTTTATATATGTTTTATTAGATAAATTTTACAACAAAATGAACCATTTGATAGAATGAAAAATAATCAATATCTAATAAATTTTGATCCATATCGATTTGATATGAGCATTTTGTAAAAATCTATAATAAATTAAATCACATCAATTTTTTTATAAAAAATAAGAGCTGAGTCAAAAGCAATTTTAATTTACTTTACCCCTAACCATCCTATTATATATATATATATATATATATATATATATATATATATATATCCACACATATTTAATTATATATTTTATAATCTATTTTTTTTATTTATATGTAATATATTAATAAAATTATTATTTATACCTTAATTTAAAATTTAATATTTTAAGCTTAATTAGGATGTCCATATAATACATTAAAAAGCTCATTTTTCCTTTTTGTTGTTATTATATTTTGTGCTTTTCATTTTTTCAAAATTTCTCTTTTTACTTTTTTTTTCCTTTTATGCTTTTTATATTAAATTAATTTTATGAAAAAATAAAACCAATTAAAATATCCATCTAACACTTTCATTTGACTTTTTTTTTTTTACATTTTTTGTATTTTTTATTAGAAAAATTTTATAACAAAAAGTATCAACTAATAAAAAAGTTAAAACAATAAGTTTCTACATGTTTCAATACGTCATAATTCAATAAGAGTCAATTTTTTAAATCAAAATCACATTAGGATGAATCAAAATTAAAAAAAAAAAGGATCAAGATGAAAGTGTGTTTAAAATAATTTGACTTGAATATTCTGACCTATATATACAAAGCATATATTTTATTATTAGTTTAATTTTATATTTATATATTTTAAACTTAATTTAATAAATTAATATTTTAAAACTCAACAGGTATCTTAGTGATACTTTTTTTTTTGTTTTTATTTTTATATTTTGTTACATTTTTTATTTTTTATTAAAGAAATTTTATAAAAAAATATAAGGTCAATTGAAATATCCATATATCATTTTCATTTGGTTTTTTTTTATATATATATTTTACGTTTGTTATTTTAATTAAGTAAATTTTATAAAAAAATAATAATAATAAATATGACAAAATAAAAGAATTTTGATCCGCGACAAAACACGGATCGTCAGCTAGTGAATATACAATAGTCAGTCAATCACAAGCCGTTGAAGAAAGACACTATAAAATTCGAGCAGCCGCCCTAAGGGACGACGCGGTGAGGTACGCACTACCTTGAAGCTTCACTGCTACAAATCTGGCTTAAACCAAATACATCCGGTTTATTATGCATTTATGCTAGTCAACGTTTTATTACTTGCTGAAGAAAAACCTGTACCTAAAGTCGCAAATGCCTTTTTTTCCAACACGAACGGAAAAGGGCATGAAATATATCTGAATTGAGCTTTTGCAGCGACGAAACCTGACCCACTAGTTTAGCCAATTATCCAGTCACTCGGTCCATGTATAGCACATAAAGACCATTTCTCCTTTCTTAAACTTCAACAGCTTTCCGTGCTTGGAGAAGTGATGTCACTCACTCCTCCAAAAGAACTGCAACGTGTGCAAATGTCACTGTATTTTATCATTTCCTAAAGGTTAGTGCAGCCCAGAAATGCATACCATTTATTACCTCTACCATAGATATAAGATGAGCAGCATTCATCTCCTGAAGGTTTTGCCTATCTTGGGGTAAACCATACCTTAAGCAATGAACAAGCATACAAAATACAAAGGATCGCATACGTTATTATATGCATAATGTGTTCACATTGCATGTTTGGTGCATGCATGATTTGCCAAATACTGCATCAATCCCAAAAACCATGTATGTAAAAGTCGTATGTACTCGTAGTTGATATATTACCGTCGAAGCAAGTATGGGAAATTAATAGGAGTGCAACATTATATGTAAGAATTAAATACTTATAAGCAGAAAAGAGTAGCGATGCATACTGTTGTCAAAGCCTTCATTCATTGACCAGGTTAACAAGAAGTCAGATACCAAAAACTCTTGTCCTGTCACCGAGAGATTCAGGTCAAAACTGAGCTAGTCATAGTACATGGAGGAAATCTATATCCATACCTCAAATCTAAAGCATTGAATGAAATCTAGAGTTGTGTCGTACACACGAAGTTTTCGTTGAGATTGCATATGATTCATCAAAAGCTTATTAGACAGCACAGAGGCCAGTATAATTTAGCACAAGAAACAAACATGTTATGATGAAATTTGTTAACAATTAAAACACAGCATGAAATGAACTTTTTTAATGAACAAAACAAAATTTAAGCTAGTAGTGAAACCTCTCTCACATATAAGCAATTGATCAATTCTGTCAAGAGATAACACTCACTCCAGCATCGATCAACGCGGTCAAGATTATCAGATTCGACATATAATTTGCTTTGACAATTTTCCAAGCTCTCATGCTTTGTCAATTGGTAGAAACTCAATGCAGTACATAAAATCACAATATGCAATAATTCCAGTGGAAATCTTTAAATTTGGTTATTAGGGAAAAAAAAGAACTACTCTAATAAATAGAAAGGGGACAAAGCAAAGCATAAGGTGTAAAAATACAACTCCAGGATAAAAATGGAGAAATAACAAATGTTGTTTATGTAACAGAACATAATGCTATTTTCTCCAAAAAAAAAAAAAAAAAAACAAACAAACAAACACATACACACACACACATACACATGCATGCACCATAGCATGATGGTAAAAAAAGGGGAAAAACATACAGCTAAATCCTAGTGAACAAGGAGAAAGACAGAAGAGATAAGCAATCAAGACAATTGTTACAAGATTGCCCAATGTTCTAATTTTAGATAATAATGATTGTAACAATATATGTTACCAAATTAAAACT